AGCGTTAAAAATTTATTTCTTTTAAATAATATTTAACGCTTTATATCAAACAATTTCAGAAAATGCGTTTTCCACATTTGTTTTATAATTTATAATATCGTAAATTATTTATTTATTATATATGTATATATACACATATTATTTATTTATTATATATGTATATATACAATATTCCAATGTTACCTATTGGGTAATCCGAGTCCTTTGATACACATTTTCAAGTCTCGAATCGACAGCGATTATTGTTATTTTTCCATTATGCATGCGATATATTGAAATTTTATTTAAACGATACCAAAGCCCTAATCGAATGCGAACGGCAGTAACAATTAAAAAGTGATAAAGTGACCCGCGAACCATTATAGTTTGCGGATCGTCTGGGTGGGGGCGGCTGGTTGGGGAGTTATTTAAAAGCACGTTAAAAATGTTTGACGCGATATCCGGCGACACGCGATACGCTTAAAAAGCCAGAACGGCCGCGAGGCTATACCATCTGTTTTGCCGGCAAAATGGCTCGTAACACGCGTGCCCGTGTCCGCGCACAAAGCGGTTTGTACAGTTTCGCCTGTGCGCGGCTGGTAATGGCCAGTGGATTAATTTTGGGGAGACTCGAGCGAGCGTGAAACAAATTTGCGACGTAGAGCGGCGCAACACGCGCGGCGGGTTTATTCGGGCATGGGTGATTTTCGAAGGGGAGGAGGAGAAGGAGGAGGAGAAAAAAAGGAGATCGATTTCGCTGCATCGCGCGCGATATCGATGTAAAAGCCCGCCACCGCGTTCGTCCGGTCGCGAAAACCAATCACGTCGACGATTACGAGATCTTGTGGCCGTGTTCCTCGTTACGCGCCGCAAATGATGAGAGGGATAAATAATAGGCGGATATAAGATATGCTTAGGTCTCGAGGCGTCATTAGCGGGAATTCAATGAACATCTGTTAACGAGATATACACCACGTGCATTGAGAAAAAAAAGCAATCTGCATATATAATATAATATTACTGTATTTTATATATAATTTTAGCAAAATATTGAGAGAAATAAAAATTGTAATAAGATGAAGAAGATATAATGAGAAGTATGAAATAGCATTATAAAATAAAATTAAATAAAGTAATTTTGCGGAGGTATATTATGCTAAATTAAATTATCACGTCAAAGTTAAAATGTGATAAACAATTTGTTAGATCTTCATTAAGAAATTCTTCAACTTACGTAATGAAAGCTATTTAGGGCATAAAACTTTCCAGTATATCTTGCATAGAAAGTAGTGGAAACTGCAAGAATTACAGGTAACTGCTTGCCAAACGGCTCGTACGGACGTAGACCGGGACGGGAATTGTAAAACGCCAACGAATCGTACTCGAAAGACGCGGAACTTGGAGAACTGTAAATGAAACCCTGCGGAATCGCGAAGTTCGGATCAGTTCGTTTCGTCTGCGAGAAGTTCGGGAGAAGTCGATAGGAGAAAAAGGAGAGCGGAATAAATGGTGGAGGTAAGAGGATACCGGGAGTGATTGGCCGAAGAGTCAGATAAGTACGAGGGAAGGAACAAAAGGGTGCGTGGGAGGGAGACTCGATGGGACGCGAGCGAGCGAGCAGGCGAGCGAGGACGCGCCGCGAGGGGAAGAAAAGATTCGGAAGCCGAGCGGATGCGCTTCATTACGTCATAGATTGTTGTAGGAAAGCAGGTCGAAGCGAGATATCGTCGCGAAGGGGAGTTTCCCGCTCGCAGACGAGGGATTGCGGAACAAACTTGTTGTGAGCACAAATACTCTGACAAATTGGGTCAAACAACGGGGAAATAGAGAAAGATTTGGAAATAATTAAGTCTCGTTAACGGAGCGACACCGAATGAATTTTCGATATGTTGTACAAACAGGGAAAAGCAATACTCTATGCCAATTCAAGGCTTTAAAAATACCATAAAAGACTACAAAAGTTAAACTGTGAAAAATCAATAATACGAAAAAATCGATAATACTATAATATTCTAAATGTCATTTTTATAATGTAATTTCTCGTATATCGATATTTTAGAAGCAATCAATTTTGCTTAAAAGTGACCTAAGAAATTCTGCATGCTAAATGGCATAAACTGTAAATTCTAGATTAATTAAATAAGATCGTAAATAATTTAACATAAATTTTCTCCTTACTTTTCGAATCATTTTATGTATTAGCAAAAGGGATAAAGGGGAGATTTTTGTTATTTATTGTTATACTAATTCTTACTACACAAATAGACAATAAGCCAACTGCTCAGTGTGGTTTTCGTCCGTGTGGTTTAACGTATCATTGCCTCAAGCCGCTTATATACTGAGACACTACGAGACACTTGTGGCTTTCGCGCCCGACCGCATAATGAGACGAATGCTTCTAGTTGCAGGATATTGATAATACTGGATAATCTCCAGCAGGGAAACTCGAAGTTGAGAAATTTATCGAAAACTTAGCCAATCTTATTACATTAAATAAATATTAAATAAATAAAATATATATACACAATATATAGGTATATATATATATATATACATATATACATACATATATATCTCCATTAATTATATATTAATCTAGCTGTGTTATCTTTACTAATTCTATCATTTCTATTAAGAAAAGATGGTATCGCATAGATCTCATTTACGTCCGATTCAGTTTTTCTTAAGTAGCGATCTCGGGACATTATTACGCTTTTCAAGTAAGCGCATTTCACGAGATCGATATAAAGCGGTTTCCTTCTCGCGCGCGAGATAGGATCTCAACTCTATCTCGAACTATTAACGCAAACGCGGACAATGTCCGTAAATTTCTGAACTAATTTTCGCGTCGAAAGAATGAGAAGCTCGGGAGCGAGGAAAGATCTGCGAAGCGGATAAGGGGAATGCTCGCGAAAGAATCCAAACGCGAAAGTTGGCGAGATGGGGCGCGTACGGCATATTGAAAACTGCGAGGTGAAAACACGAAGTGCAGAATGTACTAAAAGAATTAGGGTTATAGTCGTAAACGTGAGAGGGTAAAGAGGGTGGACAAGACGGGAAACGCGCAAGGGAGAGCGCGAGAGAGAAGAAGGGAGGGAGGAGGAGGCACCTATAGCATTGGACCGGACGAATGAACGGACGAAGAAAAGAAGAATGAGGGTGGAAAACGCATACCGTCGCGCGCAAGTATTCCTCCAAAGTCGTGATTAACCCCTCGTCTCTCGCGAGCTGCGCGAGTTTTACCGTCCGACCTCGCCCGTTTCTCCGCCGTCGGTCGTCCTTTTCGATTTCCTTCGGCACTTCTGCGAACCCGCAGACCGTGTCCGAGACTTTCCGAAGCATCCCTCTCTCCCCCCCCCTCCCTCGTCGCCACGTCGAAGAGCGAGAAAAGAAGACGGACGGACGAGGGGGGAGGGGGGGAGGGAGGAGTCCGAGACTGCGGAGTAATAAAGAATATCCTTTAACTGGGCGGCTGTCATTAACGCGTGAAATTAAAAGTTCCAGCTCGCTCGAATGCTCGGGGAGAGTTGGATGAGAGAGGAGCCCGTTTCCGCAGACTTACTGCACTTCCGATAAAAATCGAGACGGAGAGGCGAACTATAATTGGCATACTCGCGCCCGACCACGCCGTTCTCTCCTCCCCCACCCTCTCTCTCTCTCTCACTCTCTTGGATATCCTTCCTTTTGTTTTTCACAGTTAGGAGTCGCGCGATTGAGTTAAGTAATGTTCCGAGGAACTTGAGTGACTCGCGGAGATTTATGAAAGCCTCGTGCTACGGGGTTGCTACGCGGAACTCGCGATAATTATTAGCGTCCTCCCCTTGATAAAACTGCGGCATTTCAATTACAATTCTTATATATTTTTATTAATTCATTGGCCTCGGCGATATCTGTTTTTAACTCGCTCCTTTCTCTTTCTTTGCCGCGGGTTCTTACTCTGGTCGTTTTCTTGAATATAAATCAATCGCGAGAATCCAATTTATCTCTTTTCTTTTTCTTCATTCAATACATGTATATATATATATAATATATATATATATATACGACGCGATCAAAACAAGTTTTCCTCGTGAAAGAATAATAGGAGAAATTTTTTAACAGGATCTTATTAGATGTGATTACGACGCGTATCTTGGTTACACGAATCGTAAATTATTCGGATTACGTCAATTTCGCACGCGCATTTAAATTCCCGGCATTCCGGAATCTTTCTCTCGTATACACAGAGGTAAAGAGGAAGAAGAAAAAGAGAGAAAGAAACTTTGCGTTACGCGTCTGCTTTCCATAATTCCGCATTGCTGCAAGTTATTTATCGCTCGGTTTAATACCCTCGGGGGGAGGGGGGAGGAGGAATATAAACGAAAAAATATTAAATGCATCGAACGCTATCAATCATACGTCGATCGTGGCATCAAAGTACATGCGGACCGTTAGGCGAAGGGTGTGCGTGCGCTAATAACGGTGCAGCTCGTACACGACGTTCTGGCGTGTATATACGCGAGGCTGAAAAAAATCCTAATCTCGCAGTAACCGGTATAACCGCCGGTGAGCGATTACTATTACTCGCCGCGACCGCGATCGGCGTGTCTATACCTTCTATGCCGCCGCCGGTTGTAACGCCAAACCGGATCGATGTGACATCGAGATCAAGTTAATTGGCGGCATCGCGTATTTCATATTGGAATTTTTTAACGGCGGATTAGATGGGGAACAGGCACACGTTTATTAGAGATTACAGCTACGACTTCGCGAACAACGACGCTCACTCGACGTGTTTGTCGTATCCATTATACTTAAAGTGTTATTTCCCGTGTAAACGTGGAAATATGCAAATTGAAGCGCGGCATTTAAAAGTTAAATATCTTTACGAGTTCCATTATTAAATTAATTTCGCACGGAGGATCAGTGTTTCGTGCTGAATTTAGTTTCGAAAAAAAAACAGCGCAGCGCGACGCGACGCAGCGTTTTGCAAATTTTGCGCGCCACTGTGAGTGTAACGGTCACGGTAAATTTGTCGAGACTTTTTTGTGTTTATAAAATCTTTTTATTGGAAGGAACAACAAATATACAGTATACACATCCGTGTTAATCCGCTAAATTGACAGATATCTGGATACTCCTCTTTCGCGATATTAAAACCGTTTTCGCAAAGTAAATTTCAGCCGGACACACACAATCGCTCGAAATCACAAACAGATGTTCATACTTGACGGCGAATACATTTCATTCGCCTTATCATATCTATGAAAACTATAAAAAGTGGCTGAAATACACGACGATAAACGTAAGACTGACCAAGACGTGGATGCTATCGGCAAAAGATTTGATGTACTCGCACGAGGTCGTTCGACATCATGGAGCGTAGTGGGTAACGCGGTAACATTCTGTCCCTTACGATCTCTCATCTGGGACTTATCGAGTGTCAGCACACCTCGAGATACACCCACTAGCTGTCAGTGGCAGACAAACCCCTCGGTCCGTATGCCCCCGAGGTTAAGGAAGGTTAATCGAATCAATATTGGCGTAAGGATCAGGGCTCGCTGGAAGGTCCATCGATGTTGAATAGGCTAGCTTCCGCCGGATAATAAACCGCTTTCGCATTTTATTTTCCTCTCTCTCGTTCATCCTGCACGATAGTTCTGGGATTAAAGAGGGAGCGCCGGGAAACTGCTTTAGGAAATTTCACGCACGTGAACACGCGTACTAATTCTCAGATCTGATCGAATATATAGGCGGGATTAATTAGTGCAATTATGGCACCGAGGTAAATTTAGAAGTCAATGACGCGTTAATTGTATATAATTGTACTCGTTGCGTATCGAATATATAACCGTAATCGCGATCTCTATAGTAACGGAATAATATACAGTCGCGTGATTTTTACGCGAATACAATCCGCGTAATTTTTCAGTGTCGTTATAACATATTGAATAAATATGTCGTTAGTACTCCTGTAATACTTTAATAAATGCTTCAGACTCATTATAATCGTGTAATTACCTTGATTGACCGCTTTGCTTTTTATTAATTTAGGACTTCATCGCGAATATGGCCAATATGGAATATAATACGCGCGGAGAGTGAAGCATGTTCCCGAAGCTCGTGAAGCCGGCATTTGCATGATAATGACTCGCGGAAATGGTATTAGCATTTACCGGAAGCAAGAGTTTACGGAAGATAATGCGAAAATTTAAACCGAAATTTTGCGCAATTTTTCTTCCGCGATAAATCCATTTCGTCGAATGTATAAAGATTAATTTTAAAGGGATTAAAAATATACAGAAAAACGCTTCGATTATTCTCACGTATATTCTCGTTTGTTTTTACGCGGCTCCAACGGGGCAATTATTCGTGTCCGTTCTTGGTATAAGCGTATGGACGTGGGAATGCAATATCGACGTAGGTACAAGAGGCGTCCTATAGAACTTCGCAACTGCGGAGGCAGATGACGAGGCAAAAAGTTTGATAATCGTCATTTTAATATTGATCCATATGTATAAGATATTTCAGTACACAACTCGACTACCGATCGAGCGAATATTGTCGCGAATGCGTTAATATCGGCTTGTTCATAGCTTTCTCGTGTGTGTGTAAAAAAAAAACGCGCGTGTGTACGTGCGCGCACGCGTGCTTGTGTATGTGTGTGCCCTTTTAATCTCTGCACGCCCTTATGCCCTGGGATTTTTGTCCGATCTCGCAGGCATCCATAAACTACATCATATGCGGAAAAAGTGGGTCGGTCATGCACACGTCGGGGAGGCGGAGGGCGAACGGGGGAGGGAGAGTTAAAATGGCACCGCCGATAATAACCTGTCCGCGACGCGAATGGGGTGTGTCCGGCTGATTTATATCGGAGTACATAATTCGCTTCCGGTTTTATGTCGACGGCCGGCCGTCCGTCCGTCCGTCCGGCTGACCGGCCGCGTGTGACGGACAAATGACTATGGCGGCAAAATGCCGCCACGCAGCGAAATACGCGCGTGGATCGGGCATACGGAATGGCCGTGGAGCATGCGATTCCGATCTTATTGATGAACGTGCGCGTCGGCGGCGTCCCGGATTTGATCGCCCCCGATATCTATTCGAGTCGCGATCATCCATTTTCTTCGCCAGGAGAAGAGGTGGAGGAGAAGAAGAAGGAGCTGCGTCTCTCCTCTCCTTCGGTTCTCCGTGACTTGGTTCGCTCGGTAGGAAATCTCTTCGCAACGCAAATGGTAGGTTTTCCCGTCGCGTCGGTCGTGACGAGTTCCTCGATTAATGGCGAATGGATAATTTTTTTTTTATTTTTTACCCGGATTAAAATATTAAAATCTAATATTTTTATAGTGAACGCAAACGTCACTTCTCTTTAGAAAACGCATATTATAAGATAATTATTTCTAGCGTCTTGTAAAAACTTTCAGAATTAAAGTTACTGAATTACTATATTAAGCGTCTAGTAATCCACATACGTCCAAACTTTTGAACGGAGAAAAAAAAATTGTCTTAGCTCTTCGGTAAAAAAGCTATTCAATTCTTTCGCGTTTGGCATAGAAACACACATGCAGCGTCGTAATTCTTCTTCGGGTCGTCGAAAAATAACTCGACTCCCGCCCGCCTTCGCGTTGGATTTGCATGCGTCGTGTACAAAGCGAGAAAGCTCCCGAAAAAAAGCATATCCTGTAGCTCTCTCTCTCTCTCTTTCTCTCTCTGCCACTGAAAAACGAGATAACGATGGTCGCGAGAGAAGCCCGTCATTTCCCGAACAAATATATATTACAATGCGGCGGGAGCCGCATGACCTATGGGTTCGTTCATTTTTCTATTATAAATATCGAAGGAGGGCGGTGTGTACCTATACATTCGTGTGCGCGCGGGTATAAAGAACGGGAAGTAAAATACCCTCGCCGGACCTGCATTCAGTCCGCGACTGTTCAGTTCAGACTTACCACTTGCAAACGTTCTCGCGAGCGTTACACTAATTAGATTGCGCCCTCTCAAAAGGTGCAGCAAGTAAGAGGCCGGGGGAGTCTTCTCGCTTAATTAAAGACCTTCGTTATTTGCCTCTTCCTCAGCGCCTTTTCCCTCCTCAGCGCGCGCGCGCGCGCGCCGCTGAGAGGAAACTCGCGGGAATTAACAATCGCCAAATTGTATTATCGGTCTCGCGTGTATACGTCGCGCGCCGCGGCTCTCGTCACGCGCGTACATCGCGCACCTTTCGGGTCATTCGCGGTCGAGCGGGCGAGGGCACGACGACGCGCGGGCACGTATGCAATTACAAACGCGCGCGTCGTCCATATTTTTCAAATATTCGATTTCGATTGTAACACGACAATGCTACTTTCGTCCCGGCCGGCGCGCTTTTTGTGCGCGACTCCAACCGTGTCCGCGCTCGACCGACCGGGCCGGACCGAACCGATTGCGGAAACGCGAACAATTTTTTTTCTCCACCGGAGAAGAGGAACGGGCGGGGAGAGGAGGGGAGAGATCGACTGACACGTACCGCACAAGGGGATGCAGGCGAAACGCGGGGGGCGCGCGCGGAGCGGCGTATCGAATTACGCCGTTTAACGGGTATCGATTCGCGAGCGCGAAGTCGCGAAAGCGCCGCGCGCTGCACTGGAGAGCGCCGCGCGCTGCACTGGAGAGCGCCGCGCGGGCCCGATCGCGTCGCTCGCCCCGGCTGCACACATTAGGGAATCCCTTTGATCGCGCCCACCGATATCCAAGCCGACGAACGTCACGTACGTAACGCGTTTGTGATATCAAATCGTGACTCCGCATCGAAATCGTCGCCGCTGCGGCGGGGCGCGGCGCCCGCGCCGAACTCAGCGCGGTTGATGCACCCGCGCGGCGCGCGGCGGAGGGTGGGAGGCAGGGGGAGGAGGCGGGGGTTGCATTATTTTAGTAAAGAGCGATTTTAACGGAGCAAAGTGGGGATTTATTACAGATTCGCGGACGTCTGCATTTTCTACTCCGGAAAAGTGTACTTAAAAACTCGCGATTAGCGATGCAAATAAGGGCAGGCGAAGGAAGATTGTGGGTAATCGCGTATGATTAAGCTCGGTCGCTGCCGCGAATAACTCCGGGGGAAGAATAGTACGTCATACCGATGTTACGAAAATACGCGCGGCGCAACTGCGTTGAATTTAAAGAAATACTAAACGAGATTGTATTTTGAAAAAAATTGTAAAATTAATTTCTGCATTTTATATATAAATACGCAAGTCCTTCGAATAATCGTTTTACCATACTCTTTTGGTAACGTTTGAATATTGAATATTTAATCCTATAAATAATCTTCGTGATTAATCCCCCGCGCGTTATTAAAAACGAATTACTCTAAAATCGTATCAGATCAAGAGATAAGCTTTCGTTGTCTGTTTGCGCAAACTGTATTCGCGGAAAAATCTCGAAGCTCTCGGTTGCCTATAGAACTGCGCGCGTTACCTCGATTGTCCAGGAAAAACACGGTCTGAAGATAATTAGAACGTTCAAAATAAATGAAAGCGGGAACGAAACATCTGTTCTCCCAGATAGAGAAATTTTTTAACCCGGTAACGTTAAAACTGCGAATATATAGTGAGGAGGTTTTTTTTCAAACGGTATAAAACGCTAAAACTGCAAGTGGCATCGGAACAATTCACTCTTACTGCTTCCGTCACCGCGTATTGCGTAAACAATACCGCCCGCGAAATGGAGGTCACCGCATTGCAAGCGCATGGAATTCCTGACGTCACCCCGCGATGCATCCCAGGTATTCCTGCAGCGGTCTATGTGGACATGTGTATAGGTCATAGGTTAAACTCGTCGAACGTCTTAGGGGATGAGGGATTGCCAGGCGGCTAGAGAATATTCATCGAGCGGCGAACGGATCACGTCGATCGGAAAGGAAGCGAGGGGGGAGGGGGGGGCAGGAGGGAGGTGCATTTCGAGGGAGGAACGATCCGCGCTCTACCCTCGATTATAATATGAGAGCACCGCTGTGTGTCGGGGAGGTCGTTAGTCTATATTTCCACGAAAATAAACGGCACGGAGAAATTATCGTCGGGTAACAGAGCTGCTTCTCTCACCTGAAATATTAATCTCGCGGCGAAAAGTGGAACGCGCGCGTCGCGCACCGGGGGGGAGTAGAGCTCGTCGTGGCCTGCACAAAGCGACGTCTTATGGATATCCGACGACGGTATCCATTTCCGTCGAGGGAAACGCTTTCGACACGCGTTCCCCCGCGACGTTTTTCCCCCGCCGGAAAAAAAATTTCCGACTAATATCGATAAGGGGATTACTGGTTATACTGGATTGAAATGCCGCATCATAAAAGTTTCGATTTTAGAAAATATTCTCTCGTTCGCAGATCCGTTTCGCGAAATACCATATTTGCCGATTCTCTTTCGAGATGTAACAAGTTTGTTTGAGAAATTGGTGTAACATTAAAGTGATTCATGAATTTAAAGCCGGATGTATCGTATAGGAACAATTTGTGATTTTAAATTCCACAATTAAGAAGAATCGCATCGAATTAAAGGAAAAATGGATATTAATATATAAAATTTAATATCTCCGGGAAATGTGAGCTGAAAATATACTTTTGTTTTTTAAACATGCACACTTTTAGACCTCCTGCATTTGCGATCGAAATGAAGTTATAAAAATGATTTCTCATTCTGGAGGAAAAGCTATACAGCTGGACTTTTTCCATTATACCTATTTTATCTATTCCAAAATCAATGAAGCTTGACATAATAAAAATTGCTGATGTAAAAACGACATTGCATTTACAACGTCCGAACATTTCGTTCCTCTCTCGATATGTACTCTCCGTGAAATTTGAGTGCTCATAGTAGCACGCGATGCATTATAGGTATACACATAACTGCATACATATATGCGCATTTATATTACAGAAGAAAACTTTATATTAATTTATAATTTGTTATTAAACAATTTAGCTTCTACATGATTATTAGTTTGCCCAGTAAAGGGCAAACGTAAATAAGTAATATTATAGATATTATTAATTAATGAATCGCCGCTTGCGTAATTAATCGCGCATCGGAAGGACGGAACGATCCTCGTATTGCCTAACAGCGTATACGCGCTGAATAAAACTGATTTGTATCTCGTAAACGCCGATGATGATGATGATGATGATGATAATAATACAGTTTTAGATGATTTCCGCGAGGCTGTTTCATCGGCTCTTTGATAGTCACTGAATATCCCCCTTTCGCATTTTCACGATTTAATGTTCATGGCGCTTAATATTATTTGGGCGAAAACCCAAGTAGTAATTACTGCAAAAATGTTG